ATCAGCATCAGCATCATCATCATCATCATCATCATGGTCATCATCATCATCCTCAGCAGCATCATCATCGCATGCATCATCATCAACATTAGCATCATCGTCATCAGCAGCGTCAGCATCAGCATCAGCATCAGCACCAGCATCATCAAAATCATCAGCAGCAGCATCATCTTAGAAGCATCCTCATCGCCACCGTCCGCATCAATATCAGCCTCATCACCTTCATGTTTGCCGTCATCATCAGCAGCATAATGGTCAGCGTAATCATCATGAGCATCATCACCTTCATGTTTGACGTCATCATGATCAGCATCAGCATCATCATCATCAGCAGCATCATCATCATAATCATCATCATGATCAGCATCAGCATCAGTACCGTCACCATCATCATCATCATCATCATCATCCTAATCATCATCAGCATCATCAGCATCTAGTCGTCGTCGTCATCATCATCATCATCAGCAGCAACATCATCCTCATTATCATTCATCGTCGTCGTCATCGTTGTAATCATTACCGTCATCAGCACCACCACCAGCATCATCACCACCATCGTCGTCGCGAATTATCATCATCATCGACGTCATCACCATCATCATCAGCAGAATCAGCAGCATCACCATCATCATCATCAGCATCGTCATCGTCGTTGTTCTTCTCCTCATAATCATCATTATGGGCATCATCACCAGCATCACCAGCATCATCATCATCATCATCATCATCATCATCATCATCATCATCATCATCATCATGGTGATCATCACAGTCATCATTCATAATCAGCAGCACCATCATCATCACCCTTACCCCCATCACCAGCATCACCATCATTATCGTCATCAGCATCATCAGCATTGTCATCATCAGAAGCATAGTCATCATCATCACTGTCATTCATCATCGTTGTCATCGTCGTCGTCGTGATCAATATCATCACCACCACCACCACCACCACCACCTCCATCAGCATCATCATCATCAGCATCACCATCGCCGTCGTGAATCATCATCATCGACGTCATCACCACCATCAGCAGAATCATCAGCATCACCATCATCATCATCAGCATCAGCCTCAGCATCAGCAGCATCATCATCAACATCGTCGATCCTCTCCTCAGATTCATCATCATGGGCATTCGTCGTCAACATCAGCATCGTCAACAACAACATCAACATCAACAGAATCAGCATCGGCATCGGCATCAGCATCATCATCATAGTCATAGTCATCAGAATCACCAACGTCGTTATCGTCATAATCATCATTACCATGGGAATTATAACAGCCATAGTCAGCAGAATCATCACCAGCATCATCTTCATCGTCATCAGCATCATCATCAAAATCGTCCATCATCATCATGATAATTAATACTCCTCTTCACTATCATGATCATCATCATCATCATCATCAGCATCTAGTCGTCGTCTTTATCATCATCATCAGCAGCATCATCATCATTATCATTCATCTTCGTCGTCATCGTTGTAAGCATTACCGGCATCAGCACCACCACCAGCATCATCACCACCATCGTCGTCGCGAATAATCATCATCATCGTCGTTGTCATCGACGTCATCACCATCATCATCAGCAGAATCAGCAGCATCACCACCATCATCATCAGCATCGTCATCGTCGTCGTCGTTCTTCTCCTCATAATCATCATTATGGGCATCATCACCAGCATCATCATCATCATCACCATCATCATCATCATCATCATCATCATGGTGATCATCACCGTCATCATTCATAATCAGCAGCACCATCATCATCACCCTTACCCCCATCACCAGCATCATCATCATCATTATCGGCATCAGCATCATCAGCATTGTCATCATCAGAAGCATAGTCATCATCATCACTGTCATTCATCATCGTTGTCATCGTCGTCGTCGTGATCAATACCATCACCACCACCACCACCACCTCCATCAGCATCATCATCATCAGCATCACCATCGCCGTCGTGAATCATCATCATCATCGACGTCGTCACCACCATCAGCAGAATCATCAGCATCACCATCATCATCATCATCAGCATCAGCCTCAACATCAGCAGCATCATCATCAACATCGTCGATCCTCTCCTCAGATTCATCATCATGGGCATCATCATCATCAGCATCACCATCATAATCATCATCATCATCATCATCATCATCATCATCATCATCATCATCATCATCGGCAGTATCGGCATCGTAACCAAAAACAGCAGCATCAGCAGCTGCATCCTCAGCATCATCAGCATCATCATCGTCGTCAACATCAGCATCGTCAACAACAACATCAACATCAACAGAATCAGCATCGGCATCGGCATCAGCATCATCATCATAGTCATAGTCATCAGAATCATCAACGTCGGTGTCGTCATAATCATCATTGCCGTGGGAATTATCACAGCCATAGTCAGCAGAATCATCACCAGCATCATCTTCATTGTCATCAGCATCATCATCAAAATCGTCCATCATCATCATCATCATCATCATGATAATTAATCATTCTCTTCACTATCATGATCATCATCATCATCAGCAGCATCATCATCACCATCATCCTCGCCATCGCCAACAAGATCACAAACATCACAATCATCACCATCAGCATAAGCAGCATCAACCGTATCGCCAACATCAGCATCATCATTATCATCA